CGCGTTTATTTAATTAAATACTATTTACGCAAAAACAAAAATACAAAAGTCTTTTTTTGCAGATTCTATTATAAGCGCTTTATATAGCCGACAGCTAATTATAATCGGAAAATAAATCTTCGAAAGTATTAATTTGCCGCTTAACGCAATCATCTTTTATAAAACTTTTTTTCACTTGGTTTTGTATTAAGCTAATTAGCTAACACGGATATACAGCCTGTATTTAGCCTTAAAGGTCTTTTAAAGTACGCTTTTAAGTATTGCTTTAAATATAAAAAAGAATCCGACTCTTATAAAAATATTGTCAATATAATATTAAAACATATTAATGCTAAGGCTCTAGTCTTTTCGCTAGTCTTTAAGATGCTTAATAAGCTGTTAAAAAAGAAGGACTATAGCGCTCAAGAGGTTTGCTACTTGCTTTTAAGACTTAATTTAACTAAATCGACTCGAACATTTATTAATTTGAATTGCCGACCAGATAAAGATAAAAAGTATTAAGTAAAGCTAAACGAGAATAAATTAGAATTTAAACTTTCTAACTTTCAACGTTATCGACAACGCTTTAATCGTATTAAAGATATTATTCTTTTAAACTTCTTTAAGGTTTACGATATATACACTTGTTAAAAAAAGAATTTTATACGAAAAAACAAGCTTTAAGTTATTAATTATTACTTTTAATACTCAAACGTTAAAATTTATAACGATTATAAGCACAACTCGCGTACTTACTTAATATTGCACTACTTTTATCGAATAAAAGACGATTTACTTATTAATATTACTAAAGAAAAGCATGCAATATTTGCTTTAGCGTATAACGCGTGCAAGCGCTTTTATGGAGATCTTTATAACGATTCTTTGCATTCGCTAGACTATTACGATCTTCTTTTTGTAACTAACGAAGCAAATAAAGCTAGTTCAAATAATAAGTACGATATAAAAGACTTTAAGCTTCGAAACCGTAATAATATTAATACAAAAGAAAAATAGAACTTATAAAACCTTCGGAACTTTTGTATTGTCTTTATAAACGAAAACAATATATCAAACTAGCTTCGAGATCTTGCTTATAATTAAGATTCATATATTAACAAATATAATATTCTATCTACTTATGTTTGAAATTAAAAAGCTGCAACGGAAGTGTTTGATATACGAATTAGCGCTGCTCGAAGTTGTAATCTTAAAAAGCTTTCGGACGAGCAAAAGAAGTTTTACTATTCTATAGTAAACTATTATATTATAATATTATTAAACCAACCCTTTTTACAACTGCTAATTCATCTCGATAGCAAGGCTAGCACGAGCAAAACTTATTTTATTTTTGCTACTTGCGTTCAATTTTAAAAGATAGCAAATAAAGCTAGCAAGTTAAATCTAGTTATCCGAGCTGCTTTTATAAGTGTTGCTGCTTTTAGCATTGCAAGATCTACATTACATTCTTTATTAGCGCTACCGGTTAAACACTATGCTATAAACAATACTCTTGCTACTTTTCAAACCTTTTAAGCGAAATTCAAAGATTATAAGTATTTGATTATTAATAAGAAGTTAATAATTGACTTAAAAGACTTCGCTCGGATCTAACGCCGCTATGCTTAAATATTCTTTAAGTCTTAAGAACTATTTAAAAGTCTAAGTATTTACTTTTATAAGGATTTTTATTAGTTGCCGCTAATTAAAAAGAAGTCTTTATTTATAACTTATAACTTCTTACTGTGGAAGGGAAGAGCTCCGACATATACTTAACGTTAAATCAAGAGATATATATAAATATAGCTATAATAGAATCGTAAGTAAATAAAAAGGGAGAAGGAAGACGATCGAAGGACACTCGAATGTATGCTATAAGTACGTGTATTATTTTATATAATAATATAGTGCTAGTTCAAAAAGGAATCAACTATTCGTTTATATAAAAGCTTGCACGTGATTTAACTACGTGCTTAATAAAGCTAAAGCATATAACGCACTTACGTAATAAAAGTGCTTAGCATTAATATTATATATATAAACAAAACAAATACAAAGCCTTAACTTTATTATATACGTTCTTCTTTCGAATCAGACTCGCTTTCGAATCACTTTTTATTAAAGTAGTAAAGTTAAGTTTGCAAGACGAGCATATGATCGAATTGCACGGTCGCAATATAATCTTAAAGTACTACTCGATAATGCATCGCCGGATCGGTATTAATATAAAGCGTATATAATATAATAAAGAAGATAAGAATAATAACGAAAATGCAAGATAATCCTTTAAGTCTAATTCTTCTTTATATCTTTTATAATATTCTTATTCAATTATAAGAATAATATCAATTCGAGCGTTAATATTATCGTTAAGATAAGCGTGCGCCGGTTTAAGCGGTTAAATAATAACGCACTGTCGAATCGATAATAGCGCGAGGCTTAAAGCGGTAACGTAACAAAGAAAACAAAAGCGGCAATATATACTCGAAGTCTTATTATAAATAATTAATCTTCTTTTTATATCAACTTTATACTTTTCTATTTTTCTTTTAATATTATTACTTATTAACTTTATCTTTTACTATTATGTTTTCGATTTGTTTTCGATGCGTAAGCTACGCAAGCAAAACTATCGATAATACCGCGAACCGATGCATCTTCTCTTTCGACACTTTTATTAAATGCAAGCGTTGCCGTGCTATTAAGTCAACTTGCATCTTCGTAAATTATCTTACCTTTTATTTTATATTCGTTTTAACTTCGATTCGATAGCTTTTCGTAAAAGTCGTCGATACCGGCATAGCTTTAATAAATGCGATAACGGCTATAAATAATAAAACTAAAACGGCCGACGACGTTTTTCGTAAAAGCATAATTGCAAATAACTTTTTTATAAAGACCCGCCGCGCTTTTGCTTTTCGAGTTAATAATGCTTTTTCTCTTTTTCGAGCTCGTATCGCCGCTACTTCTTTTACCGCCGCTAATGCTAAAAGTCTTTTAATTAGTTTAAGTCCCGTCTTAGCGTTACGCTTACTTGCCGCCGCTATTACCGCCGATTTAGCTTCGCTAAACTTGCTACGTTAAATCTTAATTGCAATAAATCGAAATAATATTTTGTTAAGTAACTTCTTTAGCTGCGTAAGTGTATATTGCGAACCTTTTATAATTCTTTTTCGATCTGATTACGATAGATTGCCGAAAAGTCTTCGTCTTGCTTATCTTTATCTTCGTAATCGTTAGCTCCTTTTACGAAGAAGCTCCGCCGAAGTGCTCGCTAAGCTTTTAATCGCGGCAATACCGGTAGTTCCTTTTCGCGAAGTTTTAGTCGTAATAATACTTATAGTTTTATAAAAAGTTCGAGTCGTAGCAATATCGATAAGTCTTCGAAAAGTAAAAGCAATGCTTAAAGTGCTGCGGAAAGCTCTCGCACTATTCTATTTAGCTTTAAATTATAAAGTCGAAAAAGTTTTTATCGCGTATCAGCAGCTTACTAAGTAGTTAATGTAATAGATTTTTCGTATGCTTTTCTTAATCAGCCTTCGAATAAAGTCCGCTTTATATATATAATATGCTCGTATATAATAGATCGAAAGCATATAAGTATAATGACGTAAGACTTTTTAATACAAAAAAAGAAATAAAAAGAGCGTAAGAAAAAAAATAAATAAAGAAAACCAAACTTAAACAAAGAAAAAAAATTAAAAATCAAATTTAAACTCGTCTTTCTTTTACGTATAATTATGCTTTTATAACTTAATTATTTTTTATTGCTTTTTTATTACTGCTTATAAAGACTTTTACGTATTAGCTCCGTTACTCTTTCGTAAAGCTAAGTAATCGAATGACAAATTTATTTAAGCGCTTAATCTAAAAGCCGGACTCGGCCACTTTATCTAGTAAAAGCTATTCTAAAAATCTTTTTATTTAAAGCTTAAAGCGAAGTAGTGACGCTTTAAAAATATATCGTACGTAAAACTTTTTTAATCGATTGCTAGCAAATGTTTTATTTAGCAAAGCCTCGTCTTCTTTTAACTTTTTTAATTTGTAATATTTTTTTATATTTACCGACGAAATTTAATAAAGGCTAAGCTATCGAAAATCTAGCTTCTTAACGTTGGATATATCTACTTTACGTATCGAGTCGTGCTTAAAGACTAAGTCATTTATTTTTAAAGGTTTAATTCGGAAGTTCTTTTTATTATTAAAAGCATCTTTTCTTTTTTAACGGCAGCGGGTTTTTTTAAGTATAGCTTCCGTAGCATCTTCGTTTCGCATCCGAAATTAACGTGCTTTTAACTCGATAAGCTTAGTACGATTAGTTATTAGTTCTTAAAATAACGTAGCTTAAGATTAAATTCGAGTCTCGATCGAAAGCATTATTTCTTTATTATATATTATATAAAAAAAAGTAAATCCGATAAGAGTATACATTAAAGTGCGGTCGGCGAATAAAACGGCTAGCAATTGCGTAATCTAATCGATGCTTTCAAGCTTATTTAATACGTTTTTAATTAGTCCGTAACCGCGTTCTATTATTTTATTCGCTTAAAAGTAATATATTAAAACTACGATTCGATTAATTTTTTAATTATTAAATAAATCGATTACTTTTTTTTTAAACTTTGAACTTCCTGTGACGAACTGATGAATTCTGACCTTAGAATACAAAGTGAGGAGAGGAAACAGGAAGCTCGGGGAGCTCAGGAAGGTCTATATACATGGCCACAGGCGCTAGGCCTGAATGGGTGATCAGCTGACTGCAGGTAACAAGGCAGGCTGTCACACTACCCCCTTAGAGAGCGGTCCCAGCTCTCTCAAAAAGTACTTGACAGAGGAAGGGAAAAAAAATTCAGTCGTGAACCATGGTTCACGGGTGGAATTGCTGAAAAAAAACCAAAAAATACGCCGAAGCTACCGATCGTAGCTTCTAGAAGCGTTCCAAATCCGCCAAAATATCCTCCCTTTCGTTTGAATCAAACCCCCTTAAACCCTTGTTCTCTCGAAAAGAACTCAAGGCTTAGCTAAAAGGAAGGAGCACCCAGCAATCCAAATTGATTGCACCACAACGGGTAGATTGATAAGCTTGCTGATCGAGGGAACTGTGAGGAGCATGCTGGAGGGTGGGATTTCGATCTTCCAAAAAGCTGAGTCTTTGTTTGATTGCCGAGAGCGACGAGTTCTATTGCGCCGAAGGAACCGAAAGCGTATTGCAAGTGTTCGAGATGCAAATGCTTGAGTATTGAGAGGTCGGTTAAATCGCCGAAAGAAAGGGGGGCCCGTGGCCGTGCGAAGGCGGTTTTGAGGAACCGAAAAGAGCCGAAGGGAGCCGAAGAGAATCCGTAGGACGGGCCGGGAGAAAAACCAAAAGGACCGGAAGAACCGAAGAGCCGAAAAGCCGAAAAACCGAAGGCCGGAAAGCCGAAAAAGCGTTCAGGCTGCTGAATGACGTGCGCGTACTCGGTATACGTTAAGGAGCGTCAATTTGGCTGTTTGAGCGAGTCCGTATAGTTGAATGAGGACCGGGAGCCGTATCGGAGTAAACGTAATTGAGTTGAGTAGTGGGTCCGCCAAGAGCTTTACCGCCGATAAGGAGCTGGGCCGTGAGAGAAGGGAGCCTAGCATCTTATCGCTGAACCGTACCGTAAGCGAAAGCTAGCTGGTCCGAGAATACCGATATTATAGTTGAATTCCGAACTTCCGATCGCCGAAGTCTTGAGCTGAAGCGTTGAATAAGGACCGTATAATTGAACTTATCGGGATCCGAAAAGAGAACGCATTGCGCTGGCGAAGGGCCATTCGTAATTGCTCTACGAAGGACTCCAATTGAGCGATTCTCGTAAGGGGGGAAGGGCCGTCGTCTTCGTGGGAGGACATGGTGGTGGAAATGGAGGGGGAGGGGGCGTTTGAGTGTCGGAAACGCCAGGAAAAAGAGTGGGGAAGAGAGTTCGTCTTGCAACCGAAGTGCAAAAATTGAGAGGGAGCTCTTTTAGGTCGGAAGAGCTGAGGAAAAGGTGAGGTCGTAAAAAAGACAATAATCTGTAAGCAATAAATGAAGACCGTGGAGCACCCAACAAGTAACTCACTCCGTTCTTGACAATAATCAATAATCAATAAGCTGTAATCTGTAACAATAAGCAATAATCAATAAGCTATAATAC